CCCCTCAGGAAGATTAAAATCAAACATAAATAATACAACAATACAATGGAAATAATAATATGGCCACAATAAGCCCACACAGCCACATTCAAATTAATCCAAGGGTACAGCAGCAACACAATACAGTAAAATGCTGTATCAAGAAAATAAAAACTAAAGATTAAACATTATTTAATTGTTCAAATTTTGGTGAATAAAAAGGTTTTTATCTGGTGCCAAAAGAAATAGAGTGGGCACCAGGAGCACCTCTTTGAGAATCTGATTCCACAGATGGGGGCCACAGGCGAAAAGGCCCTTCTCCTAGCAGCCATCCTCTTGACTTCCTGTACAGATGGCTCTCTGAGAAGGACCTCAGACAGTGAACTCAAGGTCTGGGCAGGCATATATGGGAAGAGGCTTTCCTTTAGCTAACCTGGCCCCAAGCTGTTTAATACTAATTGTAAGCACTTTGAATCGTGCCCAGACTTAATTGGCAAGTGGCTCTTTCGGGTCTTAGACAAAACGTCCTTCCTGTCACCAGCCACCTGATCCTATTTAACTGACAATGGCACTGAACACTGCAATGAATTAATCTGAGTATCTAACCCAAGGATTAGGAGATCAGCTTTTCCCAAGTGACACTGATTCTGTAATTTTCCAGACTGCTTTTATATTTTCCATAATGTTATACAAATTCAATCATAATAAAACACACAAAAAACTGACCAAGAATGTGTATTTTCCTCCAAGCCCAATGTGAAAATACCAATTTTTCAGCAATTTGCACATTCAGGGGGATGCAAATTTACAAAAGCATGAATTGTGAAGATTCATTTGCAAAACATCCCAATTTGTCAATGAGCGGATGACAGCACTGAAGGTGCCCACAAATCTACAAAAGTAGACAGAGTGGATTTTGAATTGTCTGCACATTCAAAGATGCAGGGAACTGAATCTAGGATCCATCACCAGAACTGCATGTGGCCTTGATCTGAGCTGCAGCCACGCTTCAGTTTGGACTATTAGTCTTCAAATGAGACTATGGAACACCCGGGGCCTTGGGTGAAAGGGCATGCATCTTGCAGCTATTTTGAAATTTTTGGCAACAATAAGAAAAACCTCAAAGCTCTTTTTATGGGCACTGTCTGTTATGCATCTGTCTGTAGCTGTCTGTTTTTCTGCGACAGAATGCATACATCTGGATAAGAAATTTGAAAGCTGAGCCTTTGGATTTTGAGAGTGGGGTAAAACAGGGCTGAGAACTGCAAAGGGAAAATCAGAAAGACAAAAGGGAAATGTAAAGATTTGCCTAAGAAAAATACGGGGGGGGGGGGGTATTGTTACATAGAAGGACATGAGATCATCCTGCAACGTTGCAATAACTTGGTTCTTGTCACTTTTCTAGCAAGCGGTACGGCTGCAAACTTCACCTCATTTATTCAGATATAATCTGTATGGCAAATAATGGGACTTTGTATGAGTAACCATTGTATGAGTAACAGGATGCTGTGGAGAATGGCAATGGGTTTGGTATTTGTTACACTCCAACATACTTATTAATGTGAAGATAACGCAATTTGTAACAGGTGCAAGTGCATATTTTGAACAGAGCAGAACTGAAGCTTGTTGTTTAGGGTCAGATTCATTATCAGAGAACCAATGGGCTCTTCCCCAGCCTGTGCTCCTTTATTTTGGACTGCATGGCATCTTAATTATCTTTCTGTTCAATGTAATGGCCTTACTCTTGTTGTATGACACAAAGGAAGGTTAAGAAGACTGAAAAGTCCACTATTTTTCTGAACATTGGGTTGCCCTGGATAAAGTCTTTAAAACTATGGTGAGCGATCTTGGTTCATTTCTGAGTTCATCCAAGCATTGGAGAAGTTTGCCCTTCACTAGCCATAACAGGATCATGCAGGTACGTGTGTGTGTATGCATGCAACAACAACAAGTTCAAACAGTTCTGGCATCCATTTTTATTTTCTTTCACTCCTTTCACTGGGCCACTTAAGTCACTAAGCAACATCCAAAAAGAGACACATCCAACTAAGTTATTCAACACTCGGTGTCCTGAACAGCTACACCTAAGAGACAAGACTCAAGTAAGCTCAAAAATAAATTAATATAATATAATATAATGTAATGTAATAGCAAGATCTGTGAACTGCCATGTCAGGCTTCACTCCTTCCCAGAATTGAAACCTGAAGCATCTTCTGAGGATGAGCAGATGAAGTTTGACTTCCTGCTCACCAACAGGTTCTCTCACTCCCAATAACCCTGAGAAGACTTCAGGTCCAGACAGGACAGCTAAGACTAGAGATCTCTATACCTGCTTCTATGGCTGCTTCTATGGCTAGTTCTGAGACCCTCATTCTGCCCAGGGTGTGAAAAGAAGGCCCATGGGCAGGAGTTTCAAGCCCATGGGTGCAGCTACACTCAGGGAAAGGAACACTGATGCAAGCAACCAGGAAAGGATGGGACTCCCAGTTCCCGCAAAAGCTTTCTATCTTAACAGCATCATTGGTAGCAGCTCCTTTAGAAATCCAGGGCACCGAGGATGAGGAACTCTGAGCTAGCCCTGAAGGGATTTCTCCACCTGGTCTAACTCATTTCTCTGTGGCAGGTCAGCAAGGGTTAAGACATCCACATGAGCTGGGTAAAGTCTATATGAGCCCCATGTATTTATTAGGGCTGCTGGCCAAGTATTGGCATTTTAACTGATTAATCACATTAGGTTCAATCACTGTTTTTGCATGTCTACACAGAAGCATGTCCAAATGAGCCTTCCTGTGACTTGCACTCAGGTCAGGCATTTCAAGGGTGCTGGTGAAGTGCCCAGTCTGTTGCACTGGCTTGCAGGATTGCCCTCAGAGTCAAGTAATTGATTGATGGTGTAGGATCTCAAGGCCCGTGACACACAGAGCAGGCAGGCAGCACTTGGAAGGGTGCTCTCCACCTGGGAAAGCCAACGCATACCGCTTTACACCCCATTGTGGAAGGCAACCAGCAGACCAAACAAAAGAAAAACAGTAACTCTGAAGCAAAGACGGTGTCTTTGCAGGTGTTGTGGCACACATCCTCTCAGGAAGGGCATTCCCAGCCATGTGAGAGAGATAATGGGAAGACATCTTCTAAGATGGGTCTTGCTATCTGCAATCTTCATAAATACTGTATTAAAAGTTGTTTTTAATGGCTGCCCAGTTAATTAAGGTAACTGTGTTTTTATAATGTCAAAAAGTTTGAAAAACAATGGATGACACCACTTACATAGACATCTTAGGACTCCTAGAAAGCATCTCAAGTGGTACAGAATGTTCTGCCTCTGAGGCTGTGACAGAGCTGCCCATGTTGCTCCCAGCCACCAATGAAGACTCCACCGCAATGCCACACACGAGGTCTGAGCTCTGTCCTTGGAAAGGAGATGGGGAGGGAGTGTGCCAGTGCGTGGCATGGGGAGGAGAGAGCTAGGATCCACCATTCCCAAAGGCTTCTTGGGTCCCAGTCCTGACAGGGACCAGTAGCTGGGTGGGCTCAGAAGCTAGACAGGTTCTGCGGCTGCTCCCATCCACCACAGTTCTCGCCAGAGTCCTCTATCTGCTGCATCTCAAAAACATATGATTGCACCCATAATGAGTTAATCATTGCACCTCTAATACACAAGTACACGCACGCACACGCACACACACACGAGCATGGTTGAACTCTGGCTTGACCAGAACAAACATTCATTGGAAAGCCTTCTCTAGTGCCCTCCAGATCTTCTGGACTTCAGTACTCATAACCCCAGACCACTGTCAAGCTGGCTGAGGATGGTGGGAACTGAAGTTCCAGATATCTGGAGGGCAAAAAATTGGGAAAAGCTGTCTCAGATGGTTTCGTCCAGGGACCAAACGGGGGCTTCCTCGGAAGACTGAGCTGCTGGCTGGGTGATGCACCTGGCTGGTGTCCTTTAGGGCAGTACACGGCTGATATTGCAACAGTGCCCCCAAGAACAACCTGTTTGTTTAAAAAATCAACATTTGGATCATCTATTTCTTTGACGACAACAAGGAAATTTTATGAGAAGGGCAAGCCGGAGCGTTAAAGCAAACGTCAGTACTCAGATTATAGCACACAGGAGGTCTGTCCTCCTAAACCTGTGTGTCATCCCCTATAGCTATTATTTTGAAGGCTACAGGTAGGGAGGCCATAGGTTAACTAAAGCTGAGGGGTATCAAGAATGGGCTTGCGGCTTTCATATCAGGCCCCTGTACCTTTCTCCTCCACCATAAAGTTGAGTACCGGTAAATGCCTTCAATAATTCAAACTGAATAACCACCAAGTATTGTGCGCCTACATCAACATGCAAAGTTGCAGTTAAAAATTGCTTCTGAGGCAGTAGGGAATTAAAATGCAAAGCACCCTAATCCAGAAAATCAATCCATGTGGAGGAATAAGTGGGAGCATGTGCACAAAAGTACATCCACGGGGTTTGTAATGGGAGTAGGGGGCAGACTGCACATGGAAATATGGCTAACAGACACACAACGTAACACACAATCTGGGGAAAAGGATTCTTTGCAAGTGCATGCAAAAGGTTTGGTGTCTGCATGTGCACTCAGCTCTGTGCTATTCTTACACTATCTGGCCTAAGTCACATTTGAATAAATGCAGTGTTCCCCTCTCACATTCTCACTTCCGTTATGATGCGTAGAAGTATTGGATCTAAACCAAAGGCTCCAGGGAGAGCTGGCTAATATCACACACCTTCCTAACACATTTCTCCCTTCTGCAAACCATTGAAAGATATAAACATGTTTCCGATCCAGTCCTCTTGAGACTCAATGCTTCTCAGCTGGCGTGCGGATCACTGGAGTCGAGGGAACTTAAAAGGGATGGACAGACTCAGAAAAGGAAGCAATGGAAGCCAGGCCCGACTGAAGTCAACAGGGAATCAGTGTAGTATCTTTCACTGGTGAGCTGCTTTCAGAAGAAAAGCTTTCTCACTGTGGAAGATGGGGTACGAAAATCAAATACTCACCCTCCTTCAAAGATCTTGATTCTGGCTGGTTCCACTCTTTTGGATATGGGAATGTCGTCTTCCCCTTTTCCTCTTTTATCTTCTTCCTTATCAGTCCTCATTACATCTTTCTGAACTTCACTGGGAAGGGGTGAAGGCAGATGAACCTACCTCCCCAAAAGAGCAAAGTAATTATTTATTCTTCAAAAAAAAAAAAAAAAGCACTGCCCTGAACACAGAAATTTCAGACAAGGTTTTTCCAGCAAAAGAAAAAGGCCAGCGGTGTTGGGCTACAACGTTTATATAAGCCAGGGGTATACAACCTTTTTTGGTGTCTGCTGGAGTGGTGAGTACATGCAGATACAAGCTGCATGTGTGTTTGCATGTGTGCATATGAATGTGTGTGCAAGCACAAACATACATGCACACACATTCACCATTCATGTATAACCCACACAGATATTCCACTCACACCCATGAATATACACAACTCACTCATGTACACACATACGTATCAGTCACTCAAATCCAACTCTTACCCAAAACATTTCAGAAGTATAAAACCTACTTTGATCAGATAAACCAATTCTCCTCCAAGAAATGTTAATTCCCAAATGATCCAGGAATCCCTGACTCCAATGGATCCTGACTGTCCATACTCTGCTACCTGGATCTTTTTCAGAACAAGATACAGGTGGAATGGGGAAAACACCATAGGGACTGGCTGTATGGTTCCTACCATAAAAGCCTTATTTCTAGACTCACCTAGAAAGCAGGCAACAGTCTTCAAATGCTACTTCTTCGGATGCCCTAGAGATGCTTTACAAATTAGGCCTCTACTGCATGAACCTCAAAGCCTGTTCCTATAGCTTTTTTCTGTTTTATTTCTTCTGAGGAACATCAGGTAGTATTGGGAGTGAGGGGGGGACTTGCTTCCTGCCCACACTTTTTTCTTATTTTGCACCCACGACTTTAAAGCCTATTTTTGTAACCCTTCATTTTTGACCTCATGGAACCAGCACACATGGCGGGGGAATAAGACACTTGGACCTAATGCCTCAGCCACAATCATGCCAACCAACCCTCTGAAAGATATTGGTCACTACAGGACAAGGGAAGAAAGAAAATCAAGTATTTGGATCCATTCCACCAAACAATCTGGAATTCATCTAAAACTTTCCTCCTGGAGTGATAGTTTTAGTGTGCTTTCAAGTCAACCAGTCCAGCAGACAATCGCCCCAAAGGTTGTGCCAAGAAACACCCCTCTTTGACTGCCCCCCAAGTGGTTCCAAGCATTCAGCCTTCTTTTCATCTCACCATTGGATACTTTACATTGTCTTCTGCCTAAACATAGAGAGTTTTTCTCCAGGGCAGCTGTGAAATTCTATGATTTCTAGCATGACTCCATAAACTGTGCTCTGTTTACACCAGATGATTTGTGTTGTGTGAGCCTCTGCTCAGCAGCATGCAGTCTTGGATCTGGACTTTATAACACTACCTCAAAAGATTTTTAATGCCATAAAAATCTGTGATGACATCTCGAAGCTGTGAACTAATGAGACACCTTCCTCTTCCTTGTAACCTCCAGTTTGGTACGTGTGAAGAAAATGGAAGGATGCCTGCCCCTTTTCTACTACTCATTAATGATAAAAGTTTTCTGGACATTTTTGAACTAGAAAAGTTTCTGGAAAATGTTCTTGGGAAAATTAGGATAATTTACATCAAAACATTTTCAGCTTGCTTCAGAAAAAAAATCGGATGCACTGAGGCATGTTTAAAAAGTTCCCCATGTTATTTGGGTGCAAAATTTCAGCCACATGGCAAAGCAAATGGGAAGCTTGTGTTTTTTGGCACTGTTGTGTTGGGTGTCTGCTGAAGACATCTTTATTTAAACAAGTTATTCCTGAATGACTAGACACAGTCTCAATGATATAATGTGACAATATTTTCTTTTATATTTCTATCTCCCCCTTTTATTGATCATCATTTTTGAATCATTTTTAGATATAGAGAGGTTTATACATTTCCCAAATTAATTAATATATACTGGACCACAGGAACTGTCTGTGGCCAACTCAACAAATATATGTGTCTTTCCCTTAAAATATCTCAGTGCTGGTTCATCTCAGGCAACAGAGCTGGTACTCTGAAGCAGCACCAGGGAATCTGTGGCCCTTCAGATGCCAATGAACCACAACTCTCATCATCCCTGACCCTTGGCCCTGCTGGCTGAGACAAATGGGAGTTGGAGTCCACCTCCAACAGTCCAACAGTGTACTCCCAAGAGTCTGTTAGGTGAAAAAGAAAATATTCACTAGCCAGAGGAAACTCATGCAAACTGCTTGTTAAAAGTACAACAGTGCGTATGTCAAATTCTTACCCACAAAAGAGGCAAGGGCAAAAAGAAAATTGGATCTCCTTACCTCAGACATTTTGGGATTCCTGGAGCTGGCAAGCACGAGCCTCCCTGCCTCTGGACGTGGAGCAGTAGCCATGGTGTAGGTTTCTTTGTTCACCTTCTGCTTGGAGTGCAGGAGCGAAAGGGCAACTTTAGTGGATACACCAGGGAGGTTGGGATTATACAAACTAACACACCAACTGGAGTACACCGAGGACCTTCGGTCAACTTGCTGGATGTGATTTGGCTTTATGTAATTTAAATAGCACCAACTGACATTAGTAGTTGTATGGAGACTGGGGAACTGAAGTACCTTCTTAACATCTCTACCATCTTGGGACTTCTGGGAACTTTGTGCAGCCTCAGAGGAAACTACTGCACTTGGAGGGTTTGCTGCAGGCGGTTCCACGGGATCTTTGGAATCTTCTTTCTTGACCATCTGTGGAGAATCCTTGCTTTGGAGCTCCTTGCCCACCAGCTCCTCGTATCCCTCATGTACCTCCAAGCTTGAGGCCTCAGACTGTGGCAAGTCTGGTGGTAAACTGCCTGACTCTTCCTGAAGCTCTGACTCTTGAGGAGATAAGTCAGGGGAGCTTTCTGCCTTGGTTCTCCCTTGGCTGCACTCCTTCTCTTCCGTTGCTGCACTAGCTGTCGTCACTATCTTCAGCTTCTCCTCCATTTCAGAGAATTCTTCTTCCTTCACTCTTTTCTGCTGCTGAGTTTCCATAGTGAGCTCCAAGCTCCCGGCTGGAGACAACATCCGCTTACTTCCTCCAACGGTTGACGGGCTCCCGTCAAAATCCAAGATGCTTTCAGATGCAGAGCCCAGGGGAATGTAACTTTTCCTTTCCGACAGTGATAAGGGCAGTCTCAGGTATGGAGTCTGGAACAAGGATTTCTGCTCCTCGGTGATCATCTGTGCCAAATCAAGACCGATTCCATGAACGTTAGCCGTGCAAACCAAGGTGCCCTTGGCCTGATAATCATCAAACTTTGGCAGGATGATCGAAGAGGCGCTGCAGTGAGACTGAGTGACCAGGATTTGAGAGAGGGTAGTGTACATTGCGCTCCCATAGGATGGCATGTTAGTCTGAATGCGGACTGGGACGACGAGGGAGACTACAGGCTCTGCACAAGCAGGCACCACCAACTGAGAGATGGAGACGGTTGCAGAGGGACTGTCTGGCCGGGTCAAAATATGCAATTGGCTCTCTGAGCTGTAGTTAATGGATGGGGAGAAGCTGGGACTTCTGATTGGCGGAGAGAGGCTGGATTTGAGTTGGGGCAAATGGGCACCAATCTCACTTGGCAACTGGAGGGCAAGCTGGGACTGGAGGGGCAGAAAGAAGGTGGAAGGCAGTGGTGGGGAGCCTGGGTAGTGTATGGGGAAGAGTGATGGGCTCTGCCTCAGTGCCACATCAGCTGGGTGGGACATCAGTGGAGGAGCAATGTGAAATTGGCCTGGGTGCAGCAAAGCATCTTGCAGAGGGAGAGCTGCACTCTGAAATACGGAGTGAGGTATCTGTGGAATGGAATACTGAGCCGCGAAGATGTCCGCCATGGCCTGGGTGGAGAACAGCTCTACCGACTGTCCCGGCTGTGGCAAGAGGTGTGGGAATGGCAAGAAAGAGATCTGCGGAGTCATGTACTGCTTTTCGTGAAGGGTCAGCTGTGGGGCAGGGTGATGGAACACCTGCAGAGCCTCAGTGTAGGGATGGGAGTAGGTGGGCTCGGAGCAGTCCTTTGGCTGGCCCTTGTCAGCTGGGTAGCCTCTGTGAGAAGAGGAGGAGGAGGAGGATGAGGAGGAGGAGGAGGGAGGCGGCTGCTGATGGGGCAGGTCCGCAGCAGGGGATTTGCTGGAAGACTGCCGCAATTCTTCCATCTCTGCTGCTCCTTTGGGGACAGGGTCTGGTTCATGCTCCGGGTGCCTAGTAAGAGATGCCTGTCGGACCAAAAAGCACTTCCTCCTCTCCTGGGGCGGTGGGGCAGCCGTTGAGGTGGTCGGCAGATGGGACACAGAAGCGGGAGAAGACGACAAGCTCCCGTAGTCGAACGACTTGCTGCGGGTCTCTGACATAGGAGAGGAGTGGGAGACATTCGGGGTCTGCTCAGAGGCGGATCTGCGCATTTCACGGGAGTGGTGATGGTGGTGGTGGCTGGGCACCATTAACATATGTGGCCCAATGCCAAGAAGCTTTGCATGGGTTTCAGAGGGCTGGGGAACCGCTTCCTCTCGCTCAAATGAAGTGGAGCGGCTGGAAGTGTGGGAGATGCTGCTTTCCTGGCTTGGGCTTCTGAGTGACTCAAAGCTGGACTCTCCAGAAGACTGAGCCATTTCTGCTAGCCGTAGCCTCTTCTTTTTGGGAGGCAGTTTCTCTGCAGGAAGCTGGGAGAGACTCTGGCTCCTCTGAGGCCACTGAAATTCCTCTGTCTTCTCTGGCTCTTTAGGGGGTGGTTCGGGCTCCATTTCTGGCCTGTCGGGCTCTTCAGTGACCAGAATCTCAGGGACTTGGATATTGGGTTGACGCACAAGCTTTGGCTGAAGGGAATGAGGAGGCCGGGCATGCTGGGCTGGTGGCTGAGATGCATACGGCAAGAGCAGCTTTTCCTCTCCCTCCAAGCCACTTAGCTGCTCTGTAGATTCAGACTTCTCAAAGGAGCTTGTGTGTTGGATGACAGAGATCTCCTTTGAGGTTGTTCTCCTCTCCTTGCTTTCTGTACTAAAAGATGGTTTTGTAGTCCTGGAGTGAAAACTTGCACTGACATCAGAAAGTGGCATAGATTGACTGGGATCTGCTGGTGACTTAATGGACTGAGGCAGTAGGTTCAAGGCCACATCAGTGGACTTCAAGCCACTAAACTGAGTGGCTCGCCCACTACTAGAGGAGGACGTTTCAGTCAACTCAAATGCTGGAGGATCTTCATCATCACCAAGGCTCTTTTCCTTACGCCTCTTTCTCAGTGGAGTAAGCTCTAAACTAGTCCCCAGCTTATAATGCATCATCTGTGGCCAAGGATCAGACTCCATAAAACCTTTCTCAGCTTCCGATGAGGTATGAGAACTGGAAGAATGAGGCTTGGAAATCTGGAGCTCAGAACAATAATACTTTTTGTGGGCTTCATAATTATCCCTCTTCTTGTACCGGGCACCACAAATGTTACACTCATACATAAAGCCTTTTGCTTTGGTGCCCTTCCTCAACTTTTTGGTAAGCTCACTCTCCTTGCTCTCTGGTTCCTCAGTAGGTTTCGAAAGACTTTCTTTGCTTGCAGTGCTAACCTCCTCTGAACTGTACTCCATTCCCAAAGGGAGTTCGATGGCCGGCTGCCGTTTTAGCATTCGTGGATGGGAAGACACCTGACTGCGGCTTAAGACCTCTGACTCCGTGATGTGGTCATCAAAGGAGTAACTACCTCTAAAGGTATGTGGGGAACTCATAGTGCATGCAGCTGAAGGCACAGAGTGGCTTCTTAAGAGAGGCACTGTCTCTGTGGCACTGTGGGGTTGCTGGAGCGGCAGCAATGATTGTTCAGGCTTCATTTTCTCGGCATGGGATGTCGACGACTTGGACAACTCTAGCTGGCTGCCGGAACCAGGTTTGATTTCTAATTGAAAGGGTTCTCTATACACACCAGTCTTGGGAGATTCGATGCTGCTCCGTCGAGACAAAGAACTCCTCCTCGGCTTAACGCTGTCTATTTCACTAGTATCCACAACAGCTTCATTAATTGTGATCAGCTTGGTGATATGTTCGATGACCTGTGTTCGAGGCACAGACAAGGGCACTGTGCTGGGCTTTTCCTCAGCTGACATCTGTGGAAATTCTTGGGTGGCGGCTGCAGCTAGCATGGCTGTCCGTTGGCCAATTCGCCCACATTTCCCAAAAATAATTTCTGCATAAGATTTTACATTGGTGTTTGGCGGACTGATTTGCTGCTCGGCACTCTCTGACCTTGAGAAATAGCCTGATTCTGTGCTGCCTTTGCTGCCAGGGCTCAAGAACGCCTGTTCCTCAATCACCTTCTTTCTTTCACTTAGCCGCAGGGCAAGCTTCTGCTTGATGGTATGCGTTTCCTCCGATTTATGACTTTGGACATGCTCCGTGGCTGGCTCCACAAACTGGCTGGTGTCATCCAGAGACTGGGACATGCTCGAATGGGAAAAGGAGGAGCTCTCCTGGCTAGAGCCCTGACTTCCCGCCCCGTACAACATCGTCTGCTTTTGCCTGGGTGACAGTTCTGCCAAGTGACCCGGCGTGGTCCTGGTCTCCTCCTCAGAATCCGTGCTTTCTCCTTCCGTAGGCTCTTCAAATTCCTCGCCAGCCATCTTCTCCATTTCCAGGCTGGAGGGATACAACTCTGTGCCAGCCCCCGAAGACAGTCCAGCTTTGATTCGGTGAGCGTGAGATTTCCGATGTTTGTACAGATTGCTCTTGGTTTTAAAGGAAAAGCCACATGGAATACATGGATAGGGCCTCTCCCCTGTGTGTGACCGGATGTGCTTCTGGAGGACACTTGGCTTAGCACAAGGCCGGCTACAGTACTGGCAAATGTACTTGCCAGGTTTCTGGGGTTTCTTTTCCTTTTTGTGTCCTTCTTCAGAGGGTTTCACAGAAACCTGCGGGGTGCGAGGGACATAGAGCTTCTGAACAGAGGGCATGTCTTCTTCGGGAACGACAGAGGAGTGGGATGGAATGACCCGGCTGTGACTAGCATGAGGCCCAGAGGAAGGAAATGAACTAGAGGGAACGGCCCTCGGTGGATCAACTAGCTGCCAAGTGGGGCCCTCTAGGACGTGTTCCTGCTTTCGGGGAGCCATATATGCGGGCGACAGGGGGAGCTGCTGAAGCTGAGCCACGTGGGATGGGTGTTCAAAGGTTGGAGGCTTCGGCTGCGCTTGTCCCGCCTTCTCCTGGCTCTCCTCCCTTGCAAAATGCTGCTGCGAGGCAACGTCTTGGAGGGGAGAGCCTTGCAACGGGGCAGAGGTGCTTGGATATGGAGCTGCAGACGAAACACTGCCCTGGAAAGCTTCTCCTTTCACAAGCCTCTTCCTCGGACCTTCCTCGCCCTTCTTTGTGCTCTTCTGGCTTTGTTCAGGATCCATGACCTTAGAAAGGGGAGTGGGGTGTTGAGAATTATTTGGGGAAGGGGTCGGCACGCTTCATTTAAAACGAAGGAAGGTTTTCTCTGCAGCAAGTCAGCTTGGTCTGCATTTGCTATGAAGCCGGAGCTGCCAAAGAATGGCTGTAGATTCAAGATTTCAAAGTGTCACTAGTTGCTATTTGACTCAGGGGAGGGAAACCAAAAGACTAGTTGAGGGTCAACAGAGTTCATACGGGTAAAGCATGACAAGCTACTTCAAAGCAGGAAAACTGTCCAGAACGTTTAGTCCAAATATTTTCCTTGTGAATTTTGTTGAGGCTTTAAACTGAGCCATTTCTGCGCTGTTCATGGTGGCGAGCCTTCGAAGACAAGAAGCAAGCCACAAAGTGCCCCTCGTTCTTCTCTCAAGGAAAGCTTTGTGAACTGGGGATGCTCCTGCTCTCTTGTAAGCAGCTTTCTCCTTGAGTTTCATCAACGGCAACACGGCCTTCGGTGGTATTGCGTGAGCACAGCTGCATGGAGTTCTCTCTCTGTCTTCTTGTTCTTCGACTTTGGTATTCAAAGACCTTGAAAAGTTTGCTGCTCACATTTCTGAAATGACATCAGTCAGTGAAAAGAATAAATACAATTCCTGCTGCTCGGAGTCATATTCTTTTTAGCAACTCCGTATTAAGATACCTTCATTCCTGCAAAAGGAGGCAGGGCTCCAGGCCAAAGGTTTTATCTGCACACATCCTAAGATGCTAAGTAGTGTCAGTCCGTCATAGTGGATAGTGGGAGATCAGGTTCTAGTCAGCCATGAAGCTCACAGGTTGACTTTGGACCAGCTGCTGAATCAAAGCTGATCCTACCTCACAGGGTATTTTTAAGCGTATACTGTAGTTTAGGAACACCACATAAGCTGTCTTGGATTCCTTGCCAGAGGAAAGCGGCAGGACATACACGTCATAAATAAAATACATGCAACTGAACATCAAACCCAGGTTTATGTTCCAGCTGACATGAAAGTTCCTCAGCCTCAGCTTCGATTTCTTCATGAAGCTTGGAAAGCAACCAGGGCAGAAAGGGGCAATATTGGGATGGGGAGAGCAAAAGCCCCGAGAAAGGGGGCATTCAATCTATCCCTCCATTCGCGTTCCCTGAATTAGATCTCACCTGCATTAAGCTGTTCACAGAGAACTGCCAGAGAGGAGAAAGAGAGTCAGGCACCATTATTGTGTCTCGTATCCACCCAACAAAGTGATTAACTGGTTTGGTAAGGATGGGTCTATATTTTTGTAAGTTTGTAAACAGCTCAGAGAGCCCTTTAGGAAATCAGCGTGGTACATAAATGCAATAAATAAATGAATAATATTTCAATTGAGGAAACAGTTAATGTTCTTTTATAGGGAAATCTGAAAACTTCAGGAACACAAGGGTTGTGAACGCAGAATTTAACCTTTGACCTCTACCTGAGCTGTCCCAAGGAAAAGTGCCCCTCGAAGCTGCTACTTCTGGTCAAGTCAAGAGGGCCTCCCTACTCTGACGCCCAGCTCCAGACAGCTCCACTCATGTGATCCCCAACACGCGGTTGTCCAGTCTTGAACACCCTCACTGATGGGTCCTCAATCATCTCCCTTGGAAGCGCATTCCACATCCTAGGGGTCCTAACCACCAGGAAGCACTTCCTGACATCCAGCCTGAAGCCTAGTTCCTTGAGCTTTGCCCCACTGGAACACATCCTGTCCTCCACCGCAGGGAAGAACCGCTCACGGCCCTCCTCCACATGGCATCCCCTCACACACCTATATGCTACTAAAAGATCCCCTCGGAGTCTCTTCTTCTCCAGGCTGAAAAAAACAGTTCCCTCAATTTCTCCTCATATGTCATCCCTCCCAAGCCAGCTACCATCCTTGTAACCCTACGCTGAATCGATACTAACCTAACTATGTCCCTCCTATAATGTGGAGCCCAGAACTGGACGCAGTACTCCAGTTGTGGGCACACTAGAGTTGTGTACAGGGGCATCAACACCTCCCTAGATCTGGAAGCCATGCTTCTGGCTATGCATCCAAAGGTGGAGTTTGCCTTCTAAACTGCCATGTCACACTGCCAGCTCATGTTCAGCCTGCTGTCAACCAGTACCCCAAGATTCCTTTCACAAGGGCTTCTCTCCAGCCACTTGCCCCACTTCCTGTACCTGTGACACCTATGCCTGTGTCCCAGGTGCAAGACCTTGCACTTACCCACACTGAATGCCATCCTGTTCTCCCCGCTTATTTCCACAGCCTGTCTAGAACCTTCTGGATCTGGATCACCTGCTCCTCAGTTGTGGCCACTGCCCCCACTTTGGTACCATCCGCAAATTTAGTCAGCAGACTGGTTATCCCCTCCTTCAGGTCACTGATAAAAAGGTTGAACAGACTCAGCCCCGGAACTGAGCCCTGGGGGACTCTGCTCATCACTGGCTGCCATCCTGATGATTCCCCAATGATAGTCAGCCTCTGCTTGCGGTCTGTCAGCCACGGCCTAATCCATCGGGCAGCGCATCATATCATCCTTCAGCTGCATTTCCCTAACGGCCACTATTCTAATTTTGCTTTTGTCTTTTGCTTGTCTTTTTATCCCTCCCAATATAAATGGTCGCTCTCTTTGAGTGAATGTGCGTGTGAGCAGGTAAATATTTTTCAGCGGGAACATGTTGGCAGAAGGGCTGACCCCCCACCCCCACCCCCACCCATGCAATTCCTACTGCCGCTCAGATCCCCCATGGCTACTAATTAAAATTACACACATATTAATTGCCTTCATACAATTACTGTCACATTCGAATCCCCCATACATTTAAGAACGGATCTGCACCACAGGAGATTGCCTCTGGGTAAGCCTGCATAGGATCTGAATTCTTGGTGGCACTGGAGTAGATTTGATGCACCAATCCAAATAATTTAGCACTAAAACTACTCTTGAAAACATAAATATTCAAGATGGCCTTAGTCACAAAACAGTCACCATAACAAGAAGCTGCATCTGATTTAATGAGATTAGCTCTTTTTTTCTCCCCTGTAGTTGTAGTAAACTTATATTGAGTGGACACTTGTACCCTTCTGATCTCCATGAGAAACTTTATCCAACAAAGGAACAAGTAGGGGCTTCCATAAAGAATTAATATCATAGAAGATTATCAACAGCATGTAGTACAGAATGTAATCACATGGCCAGTCTTATGAAATCAGACTTCTGGAGCCCCTAATTGTATATTCAGTAGGACTGACTTCTGACTAAACATCATTGGGACGGGGCTATTCTTTTAACATATAAAGTTTAAGTGAGTTTATACATAATTCTTAATTAAATTAAGAATGTGATTGAATGTATGAAGCTGCCTTACACCAAATAAGACCTCTGGTCCATCTGGATCAGGTCTGCTGAGCCTCTCTCAGCCTGAGGACCAAATTCCATTTTGGGAACACTCTTGGGATGGGGCCCACGTCAAAAAAGGCAGGGTCAAAACACCAAACAAACCAAACTAATTGAGTGCAAAGCTTTACAGCAGTAACTAAACAAAAGAGAAAATTTAGGGGTGGGGAAAGCTTCACCAAAGCCAGAAAACCATGAAACAATTGTTTGTCAGGATAACAAGTGTGTGGCCAGGGTGAGGCCTTCTGTACATTTAGGTAATCCTTAGATCATCAACTGATCAAGAACAGCCTGGTCCTACCTGGTGGTGCCCTCTAGACATACTGTATTTCAACTCCCACCAGAAGAGGATCAGGTCAGCAAAGGTGGATCTCCCCTAGTTTCTTCTCTTGAGTGGCAGCCATTGATTTGGGCAACTGTAATGGCAGAGGGATGAAGCCAAGCAAGCCGCTGGGCGGCAGAGCATGTACTTCTGCTGCAGAAGGTGCCACGTTCAGTCCCTGGTATCTCCTGGATGTGACGGTCAGTCTAACCTGGCATAAGGCAACTTTCTTTGTTCCTAAGAATACCTTTTTCCCGAGTACGTCTGTAAGTAATTGCTAACCTTCAATCTGTGAACAGTGATGTGTCATAGATAGTGACTCCACTCTGATCTCTCCAAGGCCATTGTTTCTATGGAAAGAGAGCAGGAGCTAGTGCCCGGTTAATTACACTTTTAAGCAAATGGCAAGTACTTTGGAACATGCGAAGACCAATGGACTGTGCTATGCAACCGACCTCTCAATAAACATCTGTGGCAACGTGTCACTCATTTCACTCAGCCTATGACCAGGAGCATTTCCAGACATTCTGCAACCCAACTAGGGATGTGTGGATGGGAATATCACCGATTTGTCTCAGCGTTGCATGAGTTCAGCCCATAAGTCTGTTCTGTCCCACTGACACATACATCTTCCATTTATTTTTATCTATTGAAACTCTACACACCAATTGGGCTTTAAATGTATAATTACATACAAATGGATATTTCAATACAAATGTGTCTGTCACTGCATTTGGATGTGTTTTTTGAGCCAAGTCCTGTCAGAGCAATTGGGTAGTGCAGAAGCCTTGGAAAACCACGCTGTGATCTGCTAGCTAGCTTGGAAGGTTGGAATCAGATCACTCTTATTGGACTTCACCAAGACTGAATTCCTCAACCATCTCTAGACCCAACCGTACTTCAAAGGTGTCCCTCAAGGGTTAGAGTTAGGACACCCTACCCAGAGAGGGCCATGGGCAACAGCCAGCAGTGGGGTGGCCACGCTCATCCTCCAGTAGGCAAGCTGTGCTCCTGTTTGGGGCTTGGCATTCTCCAAAGGGCTAAAAGCTCATCCTTGCTACATGGAGCTTTCTAACCAGCACACAGGAGGGCCATGTTGCTCTTTTACAGAGAACAGTCCTCTATTTACTGGTGTCCTCCTTCCTTCTGTTCTTACTTCCATGTCCTGCTAAGGCTCTGACTTTGGGTGCAGTTCTTCTGGGTCACCATCAGAGCATGTTGGCCATTCCCTTGCTTCTGCTGGGAGATCAGCTCCACCTGCAGGTTATCAGAGGGCCATCCTCTGTCTGAAGATGCCCTATTCCATTTCAGTTTAAAAATAAAGAACCCTAAGAAAGGTTGCCCATGAAGAGCACCTGAACAGACTGAACAGGTGGGCACACAGATCACCTTGTCACAGCCTTCCACACTTTGGAATGAGGTACTGTATTTCTATTGAAAGTACAAGTCTTGCTTTTTTCCCCATTTGTTCCTATAATATAAATTATATTATAATTTGCTACTGAATGTCAGGTCAGCCAGAAATAAAATCTCCCTCATGCATGAACTGACTGAGGACGAGGGGACTGACCTGGCTTGTATTACAGAGACCGGGGGGGGGGGGGGGCAGGATGCACAGCCCTCTCACGTGTGCCCACCCGGGTACTTGGTGCAGCACCAACACCGCCATGTGAGTCAGGGAGGGGGAGTGGCTGTGGTCTGTCGGAGTACAATCTCCCTCTCCAGGCATCCCGAAGGCAGTCTTGAGTGCCTGCAAATGGTGCTGGGCACATGACATGGATCAGGGATTCCACTGGTGCACCACCCACCCCAAAGCCCATCAGACTCCCTGCCTTTGCTGACGGAGAATGGTGGTTCTGGGGAACCTCGACATCCATGCCGGGCTGCTTTATTTGAGGCAGCTCAGGGCTTCATGGCAGCCATGGGGCTCTCTCAACATGTTGTTGGCCCAACATGTGTGAAGAGACATATTCTAGACCTGGTTTTTGCAACTGGATAGGAAGAAGGTGATCTGAACGGGGGTGGGGATTTACCTGAACCCCCTTGCCATGCTCAGATCACTTCCTATTGAGGTTTAGGCTTCAGGATGCTTTTCCCCTCTGCAAGGACAGGGGGCCTATTAGAATGGTCCACACTCAGGGTCTAATGGATCTGAAAAGTTTCCAGGGGGCTCTGGGGAAGTTTCTGGCTGATATGACTACAACTCCTGTCCAAGCTCAGGTCGCTCTATACAAACACATCATGCCAGTCCAAAATCAATGATCGACTGAAGTCTGGTCCCAACTCAAAGTGAAAACATTTAAAGCCCTAAACAGTTTGGGGCCAGGTTATCTGAAGGAACATATGTGCCTACCCAAACCCCGACATCATCATCAGAGGTCTTCCTCAGTAAGCCACCTTCAAAGGAAGCAAGGAGCATGGCCTCTGGCACCCGATTTGTTTGTTTGTTTAAAGCTTTTGCATGCCATCCTATTATACAAAATCTCAGGACGGCTTACAATATTTAAAAGGACAATTAAAACAATAATTTCAATAATAAAACAGAACAAAACAATAAACCAAACAGAGTGACCAAACAGAGCATTTGTGGAATCAGTTCCCCAAAGAGGTGCATCTAGAGCCCACTCTTTAATCCTCTTAGAACCAGGTGGAAATATTTTTATTCTCCTAAAATATTAACAATTCTGTTTTTATCTTTATCTTTTATTATATGTTTATTGCACCACTGAGATTGTTTTAGCTGTGGTGGTGAGGATGGATTATTGTATTATTGATGTTTGTATTATCGTATTTATTAGTCACATTGTTCTCATTTTAACATGTATTTTATATCAATTAATGCAATTTTGCTTTGTAAACCACCCAGGGAGCCTTTGTGCTGATGTTGTTGTTGTTGTAAGTCGCAAAGTCATGTCCGACCCATCGCGACCCCATGGACAACATTCCTCCAGGCCTTCCTGTCCTCCACCATCTCCCGGAGTCCACCCAAGCTCACACCAACCACCTCAGTGACTCCAT